CATATTGTGCTGCACATGAATTACAATTGTACACATGGACCAATTAAATTATGGTTTATGTGCAACCATTAATTGCCAAATGGAAAAGTAATTAAATTTATGCCAAATTACACTGATTTAGGGATAATTTGGGGACAATTGGAGAATAAATCTGGAGAATAAGGATAATTTGGTAAAAATTCACTTACTAAAAAAGAAAAGTAGAATCTAATTTTAAAACCCCTAAATAGGAAAGTGGGAATGTAATTTAGGGATGGAGGAAGTATTTCACATTTTCAACTAAAAATCCTAATAATTTACTTCCCAAATCATGATTCACACATCCCAAAATAATACATTTAAATACAAATTATAATAAATAATTGTGGAAAATAAATTTATAAAAAGCTGGATTAACAGTGATTGCAACTAGTTAGATACAGAGAGCTGATATACATACAATCATTGTATGTTGTCCCTAAATACAACACTATTAGAAATTTGACACATTAACAGAAAATGAGAGAAAATTAAGAGTCAAATATAAATTGAATTTAATGAAACTTGTGTCTTTTATTTTAGCCAATAGAAACATGAAAAATTAGAGTTGTATGTAGGGACCACATATACAACAATTGTATGTATGTGTAGTCTTTACCTTGCTATACAACTTTACAACAGAAAGTATCTTTCAAAAAAAAAAAAAAAAAAAAAAAAAACTATATTTATTACACCTTTGACTTTTCCACTCAAAATAATAATCTTAGCTATTCAAAATCTACAAATAATTCCACATTGACTCCCATCTACTAAAATGGGCCTTTTAACCTATAGTTGTTTGGTAGGTTAATTTTTATATATTTTTTTTCATCTCTCATCCCTCACCTTAGCACACTCTACCATGGCTATCCACCTTAATCACCACCACCACATCACCACCTAACCCCCACCCCACCTAGACCCGAAAATCCTTACCCGACCCGTGACCTGAATTTGACCCAAAAGCGTAAACTTGACATTGACCCGAACCATACCCTACTCGACCCGACCCGAAATGCAGTTGACCCGAACTTGACCTGATACCCAAATTGACCCGAAACCCAAAGTGACCCCACCTAAAATTAACCAGATACCCAAAGTGACTCGACCTGAAAATGACCAGATACCCAAAGTGACCCGACTCGATCTTGACCTGACTCGTTTGACCCGAATATATCCGAAACCCGAAGCGACCCAAACTATACCCGAACTAACCTAGTCAAAAATTAACAAATACTTAAAATGACCTAAATGATTTAGGGCAATCACCTAACCCGAATAAACATTTATCGAAAATAACATAAACATTATAGTCTTGTGTGTATGATAATGTTGGAATGTGCGTGTAATTTAGTTATAGTAATTCATAAAGAGTTCGTTCCACTTGATTAGGAACACTTGTTATAGTGATCATACATACAAAACAATATAGTCTTGTGTATATAGTACGGTGGAATAGTCTAATGAATATATTATTAATATTCAATTGTTATACTTTATACTTATTGATAATTATAATATATTATTAGTCAAATATCTACATTGATATAGAAGAAGATTGACCCGACCTGAATTGACCCGACTCGAACTTGACCCGACAATTAGACTTGAAGAATGACCAGACCCGAACTCAACCCAACCCAAAGTGTTGGCCCAAAACCTGACCCGACCCGTATTACAACTGACCTGAAACCCAAATTGACCCGACCCGACCTGAATACTAATTGACCCAACCCAACCCAATCCGAACTGACCTGACTCATACCCGACCCGAACGACTCGTTTGCCAGGTCCACCCCACCTCCTTCTTTCTCTCTCCTAACCTCGACCACCCCACCACATGTACAGTTAACCACGACCCACCACCTTCTGCGTTCTGACCATCTTCTCTTTTCCCTTTCATTAACATTCTTCTTCCATTTTCCACCCAAAATTCAGCACAAATTAAGCAAAACCTACCATTTTTAGATCGCAAATCATGGATAAATGGTCTGTTCATGCCAGATATAGTAACCCAACTCCCGTTTTTGCTCGAAATTCATTTCTTGATAAACCCACTACTCTAGCCAACCTGAAACCTGCCCCCTATTTCTTCTTCAATTCAAATTGGCTGCTCATACTCGGGCTTTGATCCCCTGCTTAAAACACCATTAAAATCCATAATCAGTCTTCAGCATTATATCACCATTGTTCATTATCATCGAAAATCCGCATTATTTAATCACCACAGTTTGATCTTAATTAATCTGTAGACATATGAGATATCGGAAAATATATGTGTAATATATTTTCCGTGGATATCATTTTAAGAGAATAATATATTTAGGTTTATTTTATGTTAAGATATTATTTAGAGAATATATATTTAGGATTTATGATTATGGTAGTATATTTTTTAGGAATATTGTTTCCTATTTTATGTTCGTAGGTTTTGTATAAATACTCTACCTATTGATGAATAATAAACAAGTCATTATATTTTATTCACTATTTCCTCTCTTATTTGTCATGGTATCAAGAGTAGGTTAAATCTTGGGATCGCTCACAAAAATCCCCCCCCAATGGTGGGTTAGAAAGTTAAACCTACCGATGGGATTTAAAATTTTGCTCCGTTATATGTGTATGTGAATTTTGTTTTGGGAGATTTTTTTTTTGGGAGTATGCGAGTGGACTTCCTCCACTATAACACATCTTTGGAGATGAAGAAATTAAATAGGGTAATGCTTGACGCAATATTTTAATAAAAAAAAAAAATCGGCTCTCTTGTGTCGTGAGACAAGATATATTTGGTTCTCCTTGTGTCGTGAGACAAGGTTTGTGAGTTGATTCGAGCATGATTTTGCTCCTTTGGATATGAGTGTGGTTTACTCTGAAAAACCAATAAGAGATTGAGTGTGGTTTACTCTTAAAGACCATTAAGAGATTTGAGTGTGGTTTACTCTAAAAGACCAATAAAAGATTTGAGTGTGGTTTACTGTGGGAAAATCAATATTTGATTGGAGCTCGGTTTTGTTCTGGAAAAACCAAAATTATTATATTCGCAGGTTCAAAAAGAATGGCGTTCCTATTTGATTGATGACAGATGAGTTCAAAAAGATGAATGTTCTCATCATTGAAGAAAAAAAAAATTGAAGGCGACATCACAAGAGTGCATCTCGGCTTCAACAAAAAAACACTACTAGAAAATAGCTTAATTCCGACGGACTGCTTCCGACGGACCCAGTATTCCGTCGGAAAAAGGGAAATTACGACGGATTTTTTTTTCGTCGGAAATTTCCGACGAATTCATCGATTCCGTCGAAAATCCGTCGGAAATTTCCGACGGAATAAAAGTCCGTCGTAATTTTTGTATGTTCCGACGGAATTTTCCGTCGGAAATTACCTTTTCCAACGGATTTATAGTCCGTCGGAACATAATTTATTTATTTTTTTAAAAAAACCATTTCCGCTACAAAACCCTAAACAAACTTCAAGAAGCGCCTCTTTTCTCTTCTCCATTCCTCTACTTCTCTTTCCTCTCGTTCTCCTCTCTGCTTCTCCCTCTTATCTTCTTCTCCCTCTTATCTTCTTCTCTCTCCTCTCGTTCTCCTTTCCTCTGTTTCTCTCTGTTCTCTCTCCTCTCGTTCTCCCTCCTCTCGTTCTCCTTTCGACCACCACACCACGGCATCAACAACAACACAACCACCGTCATCAAACACCACGGCATCAACAACAACACAACCACCGTCATCAAACACCACCGTCATCAACGACCAACACACAAACGGCATCAACCAACTACTTGAAAGGTTTTTTAGGCCAAATTAGGCCATAAAAAGTTTAGATCTACACTTTTCATGGCCGAATTTGGCCTTGTTAAACCGTTTTCGTGTTAAAATTCGAAGCATATTTCAATTTCAGGTATGTTTTATGTTTTAATTTTTCGATTTTTGTTTCCGTTTATTTTTTTTAAAATATGGATTTCGGTGGTGGTGGTGGGTGTGGCTGATGTGCGTGCGTTTAGCATTTGCAGTGGTTTTTGGTGGCTGTGAGATCTGGGCTTAGGTGGGGTCGGGTTCGGTCGGGTCCGGGTTAAGGTTTGGGTGTTTAGGTGGGTGGATCTGGGTATGGGTGAGGGTGGGGTACGGGTGTTTTGGTTAGAGTTCGGTCAGGGTGAGGGTAAAGTGGTGGTGGTGTTGTGGATAGGTTAGGGTGGTTGTGGTGGTGGTGCTGTGGATCTGGGTACGGGTGGGGGTGGTGTTGTGGATAGGTTAGGGTTAGGAAGTGGGTGTGGTTGGGGTTGACAGGGGTGTTTTGGGTGGTTGGAGGTTGTCGGTGGGTAGTTGATCTGGTGGTTATCGGTGGTAGATGTGGTGGTTGTGGGTGGTTGGGGTGGTTATGGATGACGGTGGTGGTCTGCTAGGGCTAGGTTGTAGGTGGGTAGTGGGGTGGTGGATCTGGTGTAGGTGGTTGGTGGGTAAGGTTCTGGTGTGGTTGGCTGGTTGTGTGAGGTGGTGTGGGGTGACGGCTTGCGGTGGTACAGCGTGGCGGTGGCCTTTTTTTTTTTTGTTTTTTTTAAAGCATTTTCCGACGGAAATTCTGTCGAGAATTTACGACAGAATTCAATTCCGTCGAAATTTTCCGAGGGACTTTGCCGGGCTTGAAAATACTCTCGGCGGATTGAAATCCGTCGGAAATTCCGTCGGAAAACCACCATTATGTGCATGTATAGTATCACTTTATATTCAGTGGTACCATTTGATCATCTAATAATACCAGAATATGCATTCGTTTGTACATATATATAATTACATGAATACCCCTTACTATGCTAAATGCCTAACTTTCCTCAATTTCTAGTTCTTCAAATATAACTTACACTCTTACTCAAGGGTGACATGGGTTGGCTCAAATTAATTTAACCCGAATTCAAACAACTCGATTGCAAATTAAAAAGATTAAAAGAAAGAAAAAGAAAACAACATTAAAAAGATTAACCCAAATTAAGCAGTTAATTAAACCCCATTACATGCAAATTAAACAACAAACTAGATAATTACAAAATTTCAAACACTAGTATTATTAATGATCCGAGGATCAACCTCAACTCTAGCAACACCTTCTTTATCCTCAACAACCTTAGCCACCTCAACTTCACCTTTCACCCTCTCTTTCACTTCCTCATCATCCACCACCTCTTCCTCCTCATCAACATAATTAGGATCACCTTCATCGATAGCGGGTTCGGCCTTGAGCTCGTTATCGGCCTCAAGGTCGGGCCCTTCCCACGTATACTTCCCACCGTGTCCCTTCTTAGGAGGGGGTTTCTTCACGGACGCCCTTGTGTCAGCTGAGTGTCGTTCGAGACGGTGTAAACCCGTATCGACGAGTTTCTTCTCAATATGCTTAAGGGTATCTTTGTCTTGTGCGTGCAATTCTATCTTCTCGGATACGACCTTGCCTTCTTCGTCGCGGTGTTTGGTTCGGAGTGTCACTGGATCGTCCCCTGCTATTGGCTTCATGATGAATTGATGATTGGTTTGAATGATTGAGATTATATTATGATGGAATTAGATGATATGATTAGTGATTATGTTTTTCAGTTTGTTTTGATTTGGGGAAATGTAGTTGTGGTTTTAATAGAGGGTTAAAGAATGGAGTTTAGAAAATGCTGGAAGGTTTGGAAAATGGAATAGAGGAGAATAGATGAGAACAAAGGCGAAGGGATGCGGTGTTGCTAGAACATTCTAAGCCTAACACGTGGGACCACATTTCTGTACAGGGATCCATTTTTGACAAAAACTATTTTAAGCCCATGTAACTTAGGTACTACGTGGGTTATAAATAGGGATGTGAATTCGAAACCACCTCTAGTCCGATCCGATTTGAAGAAAAAAATCTGAACCGAATCTAAGAAATAATAATCCGAATTTGACTTTGTTTAACAAATTCAACTCTGACTCGGAGGAGGGTCGGAGTTAGAATCTACTTAAAATCCGATTTATTCGATCAATTTTCTAAGTACTTAAATATTTTTTTTTTATCAATTCATGAACTTATAGGTCTTTCAAGTTGATTATAAATGGGTTGTTATTGGGTTGCTATTGATAATTGGGTAAAATTTTCTAAGTACTTAAATATTTTTTTTTTTTTTATCAATTCATGAACTTATAGGTCTTTCAAGTTGATTATAAATGGGTTGTTATTGGGTTGCTATTGATAATTGGGTAAAAATTAAGTTTAAAGTAAGATTCGGAGTCGGAGGTTGGAAATTTAAGTCGAATCAGAATTAGATTCTCGGAGTCAAAAGTCGAAGGTGGAGGCAGATTAAAAATCTGACATCTTGTAGGATCGGAGTCAGATTTTGCATAATCAGATCCGATTGGACCCATTGTCATCCCTAATTACTCCCTCCGTGTTTTTTTAAGTGTTACAGTTTGACCGACACATAGTTTTAGCCAATTTAATTGACTTAAATAAAATAAGAGGTAAGTAGGTGTAGTTGGAGTATTAAAAAATTGTAAAAGAAAGATAGTGGGGTTAATAGTTTATTGAAAAATAATGAATGTGAGAGGAGAGATATAATATAAAAAGTAGTAGTGGGTTTGAATGGAGACCATGAGAGGAGAGAGATATGATATTTTAATGTAGTTTTTTGTCAAAAGAGGAACTGTAACACTTATTGAAACACGGCCGGATTTGATAAGTGTAACACTTAACAAAAAACACGCAGGGAGTATAAACTTATACTTTCTCTGTCCCAAAAGTTTGCCCGATTCAAAATATAGGGTCGTTTATGCCAAATCGGATTGAATTAGTTGCTCCTTTTATTGTCAAATGATTTTAGGATCAAACTCTTAACTCTTTTTGGACTTGCAAAATGAATTATTTCTCTTGGTAATGAGTGCAGTTCAAGTCCATATTTAACATGGTATTAGAGTTATTAGACACATGATTTGAGTTTTGAGATTATTAATAGATGTAATGTACTCTGCGCCAAATTAAATGGGTATATGTGAGTGGGAGGGTGAAAGTTCACTTTGTCCCTAAGAAACATCACATGTAAAAAAAAAAAAAAAGAAAAAAAAAAAGAAAAAAAAAAGATCAAGGGGTTACTTACTCCTTCTATTGCTATATGATTTTGGTAGAAACTATAAGACTTGTAAAGTGAATTCTCTCTTCGTGATTGAGTTAATAAGTAGTTAAATCAAAATTTTAACTTTGGATAAACCAAACCCTTTAAATGGTTTGCGTAATCATATTTGTCTCGTGAGGATTCTTATGCGCACAATGCAGGCGGCCAATGGCGGAGGGAGAGGGGAACAATTGTTTCCCCCTGTCTCTTAAAAGTAAAAAAAAAGCTAAAATGAGCAAACTAGCTTATTATTGTCCACAAGAATGATTGTCATATTTACTTAATTGTTTAAATAATGAATTTTTTTTATTGTTTTTTCTTTTGAGGGAAATTTTTTTTATTGTTTTTTCTTCAAGGGAAATTTTTTTTTATCGTTATATTTGCTTAATTGTCGGAATTTTAATTTTTTTATTGTTATATATTGCCTTAATTGTTGGAATTTTAATTTTTTTTTAATTGTTATGATTGCTTAATGTTGATTGTTTATATCCCAATGTTAGGATGTTAAATTGTTTCCTAATTACATACTCCGTATGTGTTAGGTAGGTAAAGACTATACATAAAATTGTTGTATGTGGTCTCTACGTATAACTCTAATTTGTCGTGTTTTTATTGGTTAGAATAATGGACCCAAGTTCCATTATATATATTCAACTTATATTTGACTTCTAATTTTCCCCTTTTGATAATGTGTCAAATTTCTAATGGTGTTGTATGAAGGGACAAAAAACAATGATTGTATGTGTATTGGCTCTCGTGACGGGTATAATACGACAACTGTTGAAAAAGCGTACTCCGGAATAACATATGTTAAAAGTAAGTTGCGTAACCGATGAATGATTATTTGGTCGCTCTTATTGATCGAGAAGAATGTATTCCTACAAGTTTGCATTGAAAAAAAAAACATGGTGAAAATGAGAAGACTCAAATGATGCAATTGTAAGTTAATTTTAAACTTTATGTATTTTTTCATTTTTTTGAGTTATATGACTAAATATTTTGGATTTTTGAGACATAAAACTTTAGCTATTAAATTATCTATGTATGTATTTTAATTTCTTCTTTAAAATATTTTTATCAAATTATGCGATGTTTAGTTGTCGTCCCTCCAAATAAAAATTTCTAAATCCGCCACTGTAGACGACATGGCTAGCCCTTTGAGGAGAATTCTTACTAGTGGCCTTTATGTTGATCAATTTAGGGAATGCAACAGACATTTTTAAGACTTTTGAATAAAATAGAGGCAAATAAGTAAAAGAACATTCTTAGAGACATAAGAGCTTTCTTAAATTTATTACTTTGGATAAGGTAGGGAATAGGGGTTTCGACACACACGATCTGGGAAGTGTTTTTGCAATTAATCTTAACTAGCTTTTTGGCCCGTTTAATACGGGTTGTTAATTGGGTTAATTATTTTCATATGTAGGAAGATTGTTTTATTTCTAAACTTAAAAGAAAAAAAGAAAGAGGGTAGAACCGTGAAAGAAGATGAATGAATTTAGTTAGATATATACACGTGAAGATTGTGGGATACAAAATGACATTATTTTAAATTATATTTAAAGTCTAGCTAGGAGATGGAAAGGCAATTTTTATTATAATTTATATGTTTATGTAGTGTGTATTAATTAAAACATTATTTTATTATGGTGGAAATGAAACACTTCATTTTATTCCTTGAATTTTCAAGTTGTATAATACATAAAGACTTAAACATAAATATTAAGGGAGATGACATGTGGTATATGGGGTGAATAGTGATGCCATGTATCATATGAAAAATTTGTGGCTTGTGTTTTTATAGACTATATATAGATATAGATATAGATGTCCTACACCTATTTTGCATGTAGGCAATAAATATGTTGAATGTTGTGTAACCGTGCAATGTTCGAAACTCATCTATCTTCTTCATGCTTGGTTTAGGATATGTTTAATTAAATGTATTTTTGCAGCCTTGTTCGTTTTTGCAAAATGAATTTAATAAATTGACCGGAGAGTCCTTTAATTTTCCATGTTTCCAGTTGTTTGGAATTGACAGAGTCTCAAACTATGTTACCAATAGTCTGATTCCCATATATAGGACTAGGTACAAGATAAGGATGGGTTTTTATAAATGATTACTCCCTTCTCCATAGTAGATAAGGTCCATCGAGTCTCTCCCTATTCCAATACTAATTACTCGTAATTCATTTTCCAATACTAATTACTCGTAACGTTTATTACTCACTACTCTTCCCTATACGTTCTTCACTAGAAGCTAGAAAGATTATCAATTAATTAATCACTCTAACTCCTATATAAATGCATGACATTTTCTTTTATATTAAACTTAATACTCCTTGCTAACAAATCAACTTTTGATCAAATAGAGTAAGATTATAACAAATTAAGGCAAACATGGTATTATCTGATTTCTCTGATTATGATGATGGTCGCCTTTATCATAGTTATGATACTGATGATAGTGATGATAACAATGACGATGAAGATCAAACGCTTGAGCTTGCAATAGAGAAGCTCAAGCTTGGTCCCAAAAAGAACAAACTCATCGTGTTTAACCTCAATGGTATGCTCATTCATAGGGCTCATAGAAGCGAAAAGTCTAAAATTCCTGTAAATCGTCGGCCTGATGGAGTCTACTATCATGGCAACAAATTTGGTTTGATTATCATACTTTTTTCTACAATAAAATTCAACATTCCTATTTACCTTAATTGTTATTCCATAATTTGATGTGTTTTTTTTTTTTTTCTTCTTTATATATGGAAGTTTATAAGAGGCCTTTCCTTGATGAGTTCATGAAGTTCTGTCTTGAGAGATTTGAAGTTGGTCTATGGTCTTCCGCTCAAGAGTAAGTCATGCATGCATAAATAATACTTGTATAACATAAGGTTTTATTTTGTGTGTAATTTATTTCATACTTCTTTGTTCATTGATATGTTAGGCAAAACGTTGATTTGGTTCTGGATTGCGCTTTCAAGGGATTAAAGAATAGGTTCTTGTTTGTTTGGGTGAGTGTTAATATATTTTTAACTTTTAAGTGTAATCCGTCATTTTTTCATATTAAATTGACTTCTCACTCCGTCATTTTTTCATATCAAATTGACTTCTCACTCGTGTTCTTTCGTTTTTCCTATTTGTCAATGATTGTGACATTGTTTATGATTTCCTGTCAATTTGTACATTTCATGTTTCCTCTGTAATTTATTTAATGCACGGTTTAGGTACAAGCTTTCAGGTGAGTCATTTTTTCTAATGTATGCTACATAAAAAATAGTTAAGGTCCGTTATTGGCATTATGTGAAACTTATTGACGATTTGATCATGACATGATGATTTAACTTTATACCACATGTGAACATGGGAAAATTTGTAAATTACCACCCAAAAGGGGTCCTAATTTGAAATTACCACCCAATAAATTTTTTATTTTAAATTACCACCCATTAAAAATAAAATTCTTTCAGATTACCACCTTTTTATGTTTTCCGGTTGAAAATCCGACTGTGGGTCCCACCTTTTTAACTTCCCTCCTTTTTTTTTTCTTTTTTTTCGACCTAATGTTCTAACTGTTGCATTAAACTCCATACTCTTCATCTCTCCTCAATTCCTTTTGTTAATCTAACCAAAAATCATCAATTTTTTCCCTCTTTCTTCCTTTAATTCTCTGTCAAGTTCTCAACTACCCATATAGGATTTAATCAAAACCCTAAGTCTACTTTTTTCTGGAAATGTACTTATTCTCCTCCATTTCTGCAAGACATAATCCCAAAAACAAACAAAAAGAACTAGCTTAAAACTTCATGCATCAATAAATCATTCAATCGCAAAACACAGCACATAAGATACAATTATTCAGCATAATAAACAATTGAAGAACAAATTTGGACAACATCAACTTCAATTAGCAGAATTCTAACTAAATCGCACAATTAATTGCAAACAAATACCCTAATTGCAAAAAGCCCCAAATTTTATTGCCTCAGGAACCCTAATTACTAAATTAGGGGAAAAAAACCCTAATTTACGAAGTACTGGAATCATACCTTAGCTGCAAAATCAGAGTATGAAATTCAGTTTATATCTTCTTCTAACAGTACAAGTTGAAATTTGAGGGATTTTGAATGAAATTTGGGGCAAAATTTTTTAAATTGAAGTTTGACAATTTATAAACAACAGAAATCGGGGAGAGAGAGTCAAAGTAGCCGTTTATAGCTGTTTATAGCCGTTATGTGGGGCCCTCAAACAGATTTTCCACCGGAAAACAAAAAAATGTGGTAATCTGAAAGAATTTTGTTTTTAATGGGTGGTAATTTAAAATAAAATTTTTATTGGGTGGTAATTTCAAAACAGCTTCCTTTTTAGGTGGTAATTTACAAATTTTCCTGTGAACATGATATATTATGAATATACGATATTCACTAAAATTTGTAACAGGACCAAAAGCAGTCCACTGATACTGGATTCAAGACTCTCGAGAACAAAAGAAAACCTTTGTTCTTGAAGGAATTGAGTAAACTTCATTCATATCTTGCTAACTCTAGCAAAGGAGCGCGATTTTCAGAATCAAACACTTTGCTTATAGATAAAGACCCTGTCAAAAGCCTTTGTAATCCGGTAAATATTCTTCCTTGCTCTTGCAATTGTATACGACTTTCATTCGATAATCTATATACTTCGTATAACATGTATATTTATACAAGTTAATATTTTTTTTGCTTTTATTAATCGGGTGTTTTGTTGTAGGCGCACACTGGAATATTTCCCGACACTTATGATCCAAGCAACAACAATGATAATGCTTTAGGTGAGACATGAGCTAGTTTAAATTACATTATCAACTTGACAATTAATTTTTGCTGGTTTATTACTTTATTGATCGATTCTTTGTTTTGTTGATGAGTAGACCCAAAGGAGGAACTAGGTAAATATTTGGAAGGGTTGGCAAATGCTGAAGATGATGATGTTCCAACTTATGTGAAAGCCAACCCCTTTGGTCAGCCGGCTATAGGGCCAGATCATCCTGACTGGGACTTCTACTCCCGAGTTCGCCGTCGTCTCAAGAACTAACAGTGCTTGCTAATCTTAGAAATGGTTTGGAGGGTATTTAGGTTTTTGGAGAGGGTTAGTTTAGTTTTGATCCCTCAAATTATGTTGGTATTGTTAGTTTGGTGTTTTCCCTAGAACTATTGCATGGAATGCTTTGCTGATCGATCATTATGTTAAAGCTATTGCAATTTTCTCATTTCGGTGAATAATAAGTTGCTATTTTAATTTCCTATGCATAGTAAATTAATTTTCACATTGGAGTTATGGAGTGTATAAACTTTTTCTCTTTTTTGGTTTATTTTTTTTTTGGTTTTTTTTTGTTTTTTTTTTGTTTTCTTCTAATTTCATGCAATAAGAGTTAGACTATTGTCAAGAATAAGCAAATGTACATGTAAATTACCTTTATTCGGATCAAATTTCATTTTTTAGGAGGTCAAGTTAGAATTTTGTAGGAGCAAAATGTATATGTAAATTACCTTTTAAAATGCAATTTTTGTCAAAATCAACTTTAATATGTTTTTTTATTTTTGTAAAAGAAGACTTGATTTTTATTTTTTATTTTATTTTTTTTAGTTTTTTTTTGTTGCCAAAGTAGTAAACACACCTATTTACCGGATTGTGGATTTTACTCAAGATTTTTAAAAATTCTACATATCATTCTTTAAAAATGACACCACAACATGCTGATGTGGAAAAATCTAATTGACCTATATTTAGTATTTTTGTTTTCATTTTGATTATTTTTAATAGCCATATTGTATTAAAATTGTATTTTTTTATATTCATTTTAATACATGTATTTTTTTTAGAAATACATAATTATAAATTATAATTATTTTTATATTAATTAATTTTCGAATTTATAATTATAAATAAAATTCACAAAATTAAAATCATTGAACATTGTTCATATTATTCAACAATCGTTCATCAATGTTCATACTTCATAGTGTTCATCATTGTTTATGTTGTTCATCAATGTTCATCAATCATGTCATAGATTAGCCCCCTATTTCCAAAATCAATGTTACTTGTTGATGAATTTGCAAATTCAGGCTAAAATCGGGATAGAAATTCGTAAACAAATTGTGTTTTTTGCAGTTTTTGATTTTAGGTTTTCGTTGATAAAAAAAATTTCAACAATAATTTCATTTATAAGTATTTGCAAAGGACGAATTCCTCTTTGAATAGTTCAAAAATATAAATTTTATGACTTAAATTGTGTGATTTCATTAAAAAACGAGTATCAAGTTTGTATGTAGAAGATGAAGTGGTCGCATTTTGATCTGATAAATGTAATTACGTTTTTTCGAACTTTTTTGTGGGTTAGGTAATGACTTAAACTATATTTGGCCATTACATAGAAAAACAATGTTTTTTATATTCTGGTATTAACCTTATTATATTACTAGTTTAGATCCCATGCAATGCATAGTAATTACTAATAAAATTAAAATAAGCTTTCATATTTTTTATGTGTCATTTAATTTAATTGTATATGTAATGTTTCAAGAATATAAACCACTAATTTACAAATTAAAATAGACCGTTAAAATTTTTACTTTTCAAAGATTTAATTATTTCAATGAAATATAGAGATTGATTATTATCATATGACTTTCTTCTTAAAAAAATACAGTCGCAACTTCTTTTTTTTTTTTACAAAAACCGTACGAAGTGTATTAAAGGTGTTCTTTGTCTGACAAAGCAGACATTACAACTTCATGAGGGCCATCCTCCATCCAAACCAAGTCCTCTCTAAAGGATAGAGCAACTTTGGCCATGGAATGGGTCGCTTTATTACAACTTCTATGAGCAGAATAAAAACTACAATAATTAAAAGTGCTAGCCAAAGCCAAAATGTCATTTACAGTAACTTGAGAAGCAGAGCATTCAACTGTTTTTCCTTGCAAAAGGTCGACAATGTTTGAGCAATCAGACTCCACAATAAGTGAACGAAACCCCGCCTCGAAAGCATATTTCAGCCCAAACAAGACTGCCAAAGCTTCTACAAGTTTTGGCTCCATAGCTGCCCTCACACATCTCCCAGCAGACATTAGTAAATCCCCAACATTATCTCTAATCACTATCCCCAAACCCACAGCATCGCCACCCATAGCCCCATCAGAATTTAATTTTGTAAGCCCCGCAGAGGGGGGAGACCAAAGACAAGGAGCTGCTGTAGCGTTGGTGTTGCTCTGAGGGGAGTCACAAATGTTTGCAGCTTCAAACTCCCCAAGGAAATTGATAGCTCGTTGTAGGGATTATTTCAAGCATTATCCCTAGCTTGAACCCCACTGTGATCATACACTAAAGTACGGTGACGTTCAAAGGGGAGGAAGTTAGAGCAAAAGAGTCGCTAACAAGTTTTAATAACTTGTAAACCGTTCACTAGGTGAAGGTTACACCCCTTAACGATCTAGGAGATCGTCAACTCCAATAGGTCTGGAACCATGACTGGTGTTCGGGGACATAGGCGGATCTAGGGGGTTCATTGAACCCCAGATTTTTTTGAAAAAAATTATAAGTTTTGAATTTTTTTTTAAAAAAAAAGAAAAAAAAAGGTTAAAACAAATTTTTGTGAAGTAAATAACTAAATATGTAAGCTTGGCACATTGGTTAGGGAGTGACTCATTGAGTAGTGAGGCACCTCTTAGATCATGGGTTCGAGACCAATTGCCCTCATTTATTCTTTTTTTTTTTTTTTTTTTTTGTTTTCCTTTCGATTTCTTCCGTTGTTCTTCTTGAGTTAATTTTAGGAGTAGTATGTTGGTCCTTTTGTTAAGTTAAAGAGTCAAATGAATTTAGAAGTTAATGAGTTTATTTAGTGGGTTTAATCATGGCATTATACTTCCAGCTTTTTAGCTTATTATTTGTTGTTTGTTAGCCTACATATAAGGCTCTTGTATTTGGTGAATTAAGCATGAACAAGTATTATCGAGTTCCTTATTTTACTTGCTTTATACTTATCTACTATTATTATTATTATTTTATCCTTAGTACGTATTAGTTTCAATAGTCCTCTTATTCCTCTACCCCTCTTAATTCTTAAATCTTTATTTGTTTGTAAATTAGTAATAATTAGATTAATTACTGATTTGTTTAATTAGTTTTGATATATTGTTGAATACTCGAATTGTTGACAAATTGAATTTTAAAAACTTAGAATTTAAAATTTTTACTTGATCTTTTAATTGATAATTAGAAAAATTTTCCATTGTCAAATTTGTGTTTATTGGGTACTTGGGATTTGTGTTTTATGCGTAATATTGATTTTTTGCAATAGAAGTATAGATTTATCATTTATAGAAGTACTAATGTATTAGCACGCTTTCAAAGTATAAAACTCGAAAAATGCTTTTGTAGGGTTTTTTTTTTATTTTTATTTTTTATATTGTAACTGTTTAATCCATCCATTTGCAATAAAAAAATTTGAACTTATGTATTGAATATTTAATTAATATATAAGCATCGTTTGTTTTTTAAGATTCCGAACCCACAGTTCGGAATTCCTGGATACGCCACTGTTCGGGGATGAAGGTACAAATTCAACCTAAAAGAGATTGAATCTGCCCTAATAATAGGCCTCTACTTTATTCTGATCGTATTCATGTGCGCTTTCTGACTAACATGCACTCAATAGGTTTAACCCTAAACCTGTTTATCTATGTTGGTTGAATATTAATGCACAAATAAAACTATTATCGGCGATCACTTGAATTATAATCAAATTAACCCTAACAAGATTATTAATTATCTTATTAAGCGTGATTACAAGTACCAATTCCCTTTAAACATGCATAAAAGGCGTGATCAAGCAATAACAATAAATATCAAGCAACATAATAATCATAATAATTAAAATAATCATAATCATAATCATAAATAATAGTCATTAAATTCTCATAATCATAATCATAATCATGTTAAAGAATAATAATAGCAAGATCCTAGGCATGATACTAACAAGATTAATAACAAATCCTAGCATGTCACTAAACAATAAAGATCAAAGCTTTAACCCTAACATGATATTAACATGAATATTAGGAAGAAAATAAGAAGCATCGCAGGAATCACAATAAGCATATTTGATATTAGAAATTATAGTTATTACCCTAAACATGATACTAGAAAGATCAAAATTCCCTAACATGATACTAGGAATCATAATAATAATCTAGATATGATTTTTATATCATAATATCAATAAAATCAATTAAAGCACTTACTTGGATGCCTCGTATCTCTTTCTAATAACAAAATACAAACGTTAGTAACTTCAAGGAAAATAAAAAAATAAAACAATTAAATTAATAATTGAAATAAGGAATTAAAGAAAATTTAGACTAGATTTGGGACCAAACCCTCAGAAATCAAACCTTTCACGTCTAGGGCGAAGGCAACTTCGAATTATGCTAGGCGTGTCTAATGCTAATGTATGAGGAATTGTAAAAGGGTTGGTTTAGAAAGAGGGAGAGGGAATCAAGAAATTCTTGATGAGAGTTTGTGAGAGAGAGAATTAGAGAATTGATGGAAATTGATAATGGAAACAAAGGTTTTAGGAGGCTATTTATAGAGAAAATCAGCCGGATGGATAAAAAAACGAATAAGAGTTTCGACGAGAATAAAACGACTTAGTGTCAGACGCCAGGCATTAGCGCCAGATGCTAAGGTTAGCGTCAGACGCGAAGGCTAGCTCCAGGCGCTAATCTTGTCATCAAACGCTAGGAACCAGTTTCCACGCGTTTTCTTAATTTGATAAAATTTAGCCGTATAGAAGGGCAAAATCGTATTTTTCTTAAAAACACTTCTTTTATTCTGATTAAAACTCTAAAAAGTCAACTAAAGTCAATTTATCAATGCTAATTAAATTAGGAATGAAATGAACCTTCTAGAAGAATCTAGAAAACTATAATTAATTCTAATTGCATTAGGAATGATAAATCAATATTAGGCCCTCTAGATCATTGGGCTGCATATAAATATCAAACCGGGCCCAGTTTAGTAATTTGTCCATAACTTCCTCATTATTCATCGGAATTGGGCTCATAATATATCGTTGGAAAGCTCTTTTCAAACCCGACCCAACTACACTATTATTTGACCCTTGCCATGGACCAAACCAAACTGGATTGGCTATTTTCTTAAAATGGGTTTTCAAAAACAGAGAGAAAGAAAAGAATTAAAAACTAACTGCAACACTAGACTTTCCACACTTTCACTTCATTCGATTATGATCCGACGTGAAAGGTACTCATCACTGGGTTTGGTTTCGGGGAGACACATTTGGGTGTCTACACTCGTTCACATGCTCTAACAAGATCACCCTTCTGCTTTTCAAAAACCCACAGATTACGAAGGTTCCAGTTCTGCAATATAATCATCATTGCAATATCCCATGCTCGGTCACATGAAGTATGCTTCAAAAACGACTGACTCCAATCAACAAGCTTAGAGTTCCCATTCGGAACATCCAATCTAAGGGGTGAAAGGCGCCAAAGCAGCTTTTCATCCTTGCAATAAAGGACCATATGTGATATAGTTTCCGCACAAGTCCCACATCTAGGACAAATATTATCAATATTCATGCCCCGATTCTTCAGAGTATCTATAGTGGGAAGACCATGTCGCATTGCTCTCCACACTAAATTTTTAACTTTTGGTGGGTGTAGGCGTCGCTCGAAGTGCGCCTACGTTAAAAGCATGTGTGAATATTCTAGGCACTCTTAGGAAGTGGGAATTAACATAATACGATTAGGGACAAGCAAAGTAGGGAGCCGCCAACAAGTTTTTAAGGAACTTGTAAACCGTTCATGGATTATAAAAGGCAACCACGATAAGGGACAACGATAGGCAACAACGATTGACCCGTGAAGGTTACACCCCATTCATAATCCATAAGATTACTAACTCCATATGGTTCGGAACCACGAAAGGAGGATCGGGGATGATGGTACGAAGTGAGTCATGGAGTTACATTCGCCTGTATTGGCCTCTACTCGATTCTTATATTGAAAAGCATTCATGTGATCTCAAAGGCATACAAACAAAATATTCAATTCGCTCCAAACTATTATTAGGCTAAATTGGTTTTATATTAATGCACACATTATTCTAAAATATTGGTGATCACTTCAATTAATAACAAGATTAAAAATAATCCTAAACCGGTTGTCCAAATTATCTTATTAGGCGTGATTTTCAATTAAATATTTCCTTTAACATGCAATATGGTGATCATACAAATAATAAAATAACATCAATATTGGAAGCAATTTAACCATAATTTCAACAACATAAAATCGTTAGAAAAATAATAGAAATAAAAGGAACATAATTCTTACTTTGATTCTGTTTGTTTGCAACTACAAAATAATAATCGAGTTAGTAACTTCAAGGAAATAATAAAACAATAATTAAATTAAATTAAATTAAGTAGATTTGATTTGGGGCCAAACCCTCAAATAGTTCTACCTTTCACGCCTTGTCTTAAGGATGGAACCACGAGTAAAGTATGGACTCCTTTGAGCACTTGAAGAAGGAATTTTGAAATGAGAAGGTTAGGCTAGTGTTTAGGCTAAATCATAGAAGAGAAAAAAAATAAAACTAGAGAATTAATTGATGCCCCGTTCATCAGAAATGAGGGGGTATTTTTAGGGAAAATGTGCTGAGGGAGCACACGGAACCTTAAAATGATAAAAACCCTAATAAAGTATCCTGCGACACGGCAAACTGTACCGTGACACGGGAAGTTCCACCGTCAGACGGGAAGCATTCCCGTGACACGGTGCATTTTTGGTGTGACGCGGGAAATTTTCAGAAAACGGGAAAGAAAACGCGTTAAGGGTTTACGCGGAAAAGACACGGAAATTCCCGTGTCACGGCAGACTTCCCGTATCACGGGAAATCCCACCGTCAGACGGGACAGATTCCCGTGACACGGTGGGTACCTGCCGTGGCGCGGGAATTCCCAGCCCACTTTTCCGTCTAAATACATTTTTAACCCTAATTTCATTTGGCATTTTAAGTGTCGCTTGATAATTTCGGGCCTTTTCTGACTTATTATTAGTTGGGCTAAAAATAAGAAAATAATTAAATAAAAATAAATAAAAGG